TTTCAGCCCACCCCCAAGAGATAACAAGCCTGTATTTCTTTAAAAGGGTCAGTGTCCTCATCTAACTGGAATGTTATCTTTTGTAAATTTGCTAAGTCAGGCTGGCAGACCAGTTAGAAACATTCAAGTTATTTCAACTATAAATTAAAATGATCAGCAAGATTTTTATCAGCAACTGAAAACTAAACCACAATAACCTAAAAACTGCCTAACTGCAAGTCTGATCCTACCAGTCCTTTGGGACTGGATCCATTGCAGCTGGCCTCTACTGAAAAGTTCAGTAAAACATTACAGGAAACAAAGAGCTTCATGAGCTTGGACCATATGAACAGGCATATATATTCCCTTCACTCTATGCTATAGTCCTGGCATAGACAAAAGAAATACGTGAAGGCTTATTTTTAACGGCTCTGACTATATAAATGAGAGAACAACTTTAAAGTTTGTGAACCGCATTTTCTTGTGTAGATGTTAGACTATTAAGACACTAGAATGTCTCCTACAAGACTGCCCATGCCACTTCTTGTAGCACCTATATTTTCTTAGGAAATAGTTTCTTCCATCCTTATCACACCTTTTCCAAATTCAGATATGAATCCAAAAGGATGAAACCAAAAACTTGTATAATGAAAATGAACTAGACAGTGGAAAGCAGAATGCAGCTAATAAAATATAAAACTTGTTTGTGGGTCAGGAACCTAAATTGCTGTTTCTTAAAGCACACGGCTTCTCATAAAGCAGGTCTGGCTATGAGTTTTCCTGGGGATCTGACCAGATTCTCCAATGCTCTGCCTTAGGGTAGGGCACATAAGAGGTTCAAGGGTTTACCTGAGTTGCAAGCCCGCTTCAGACCTTGCTGTGCCAGCCATCGGCCAGGCAATCAGTCGCTCAGTGAACTCAGGTACAGGAATTTCCCTCCCATTCTGCTTCGCCAGCCTCACTCGTGCTGACGCTGGGCATGCTGCCTTGCTTGCTTTGACACTGCCTGCAGTACCAAAGCAAACTTCCTCACAGCTCACTGGGGCATGTCAGAGCTAACCTATAGTTTCAGTTCAGTCATTCACCTCTCTAGGAACAAGCCTTCAGCTGAAAGGAAGGAGGCAGCAGTAAAGTAGTACAGCAAACGTGGCGGGTTATTTCTGATCACTAACCGTTACCTGCCTGAGCGACACAGAGCAAAACCTCTGCCCAGAGCACTTCCTTTGGTGGCTTTTCAGATTTATCTTATTATTAAGGATAATATTATACAGTATTTTGACAAAACTTAAATATTTAACAAGTGGTCGAAAAAGGGAGTTTTGAGCCTGCCCAGCTCCCATCTCTCTCTGGTAACTATTTCCCTCCCTGCTCTCCGCAGTGAAGCAAATGACCCAGGACATTCTTCCTCCCAACCCATCACCTCATCTCCACAAGCTTCTCACTCCTGTGTCATCTTCCAGAGAAGCCTCCCCCTGTTCCTCAGAAAGTCTTTTCCCTCCTGAGAAGAGTGAGGGTAGCCAATACAAAGGCAGGACATGCACAGCCTGCACTGTGCTATGGAAACTTTCAGAAATTTGACTGCTGCTATTCCACTTACTTTTCTAGTCCTCGCTCGGAGGTTAAGGACTACTCCACAGAGGCTTCATTTCCTCTGATTTAAGTTGCTGACAGATGTCATGCCTCCTTTTGGGAAATATCTGAATATAATGTGAACATATATTCCTTGTGTTTCTAGGAAGAGAGACAGGGCGCTCATAGCTGCCCGGGACTCACCAATACCACTGCAGACCTCACTTGCAGTGAGCCAACAAAGTTAATGTACAGTGAGCCATAAGTTAATGTACTTCCCATCAAACGAATGACATATAGCAAACTGTAAACTGGAAACAAAAGCAGTATACAAAATATAACTTGATTCTAAATTACATTTAAGTACTTAGATAAATTAGTCTCCTTATTTTTCTCTTTTAACATTGCCATCTAGCACCTGTAAAAACTGAAAGACAGATAGAATTATATTTAAGATTTTTATTCATAAAGTTTCACAAACCTTGCAATTTTATGGCTAAAAACGATTAATGTCTGATTATGGGTATGCTGAAATTGCTGGGAGTATGTTCTAAGAGCCAAATTCCTGTCTTACATAATTTCACTGGCTACAGGAATTCTATAGGCAGAAATGTAGTTCACAACCTTCAGCAAAGAGCTCAAATTACCTGCAAGGGATGATGAGATTCCAGAGAAAATGATAGTCAAAGCAAATCCCAGCAGGCATGGAAGACTGGCTCCTTGTTATACTATTCTGGCATATTAAAATTAATCAAGGCACTAATCAGTTTGCTTTTAAAATCTAGATTCTTTTTTCTCCCCTGAAATTTATATCTTAGAATAAATTTACTTGAAAGCCGCTTCTCTCAAGTAAAGAGAGGTGTAATGGCAATTTTACCTTGATGTTATCTGCCATATTCCTCACAGAATCTGTTTGCTTGTGATGTTTATACACTCAGTCGCTACAAATGACTTCTTTTTTAAAGAGATCTGTTCCTTACCCATCCTCACTTTTGAGCTTCCAGTTTAACCTATTTCTTTTGACTCATTTGCCATTCAGTGAACATGAATTCAGTGCAATTTCAGGGAAGATGAGGTCTGTTCTGACATGAGCCTGGCAAGACAAATGCAGATTATAAGCAACTACTGCCCAAATAAGGGTATGGCTGTACCACAGACTTGACACAACGGAAAGGACCTAAGAAACAAACCTAAGCCATATTCCTATCACCCAAGGGAGATGTCAAACACAGAAGGGAGGTCTCCATAAGCTCAAAATTGCACAGTTATGGAAAGAATTCCTCCAGAAGCAATTCAGGTACGTTTCTGCTCTCAAATGGCCTACGAAAAAGTTGTTCTTCCAACCAGGAGCAGAGTCTCAGCTGAGCCTTTAGCCTTAGCTGCAGTACATGAAGCTAAACACTAAGAATATCCCCACAGATGCCAGGTGCTGGTCCTCTGCTACAATGCCAAAGCACAGTGTGTAAAATTACATTTGACTGGGTTTAGGAAAGAGTATTTGTTTTGTTGGGCCTGTATCCTTAGCTAGTGATATCCATGTCCATGTCCACATCTTGGGTAATGTCTCTACTTAGCATATTCCTTTAGAAAACAGAAAACATTACTGTGGAGAAACCTTAGCTAATTCCTCAGGAGTAGAACAGTGCTTCAGAGGGAGGGAGAACTAAGTGGCTTTGGAGAATGAGGATAAGTTTAGCCCTGCTTTGCCTAAGAAATGATCTTGCTAACACACAGGCAATATTCTGCTCTAACCCACATCTCCAAATCCCTTAGACCCTTGGGAACAATAAATCCTCCCGTGTTTCTTTCACTATGCCATACAAAGATAAAACTAAATACAACATCACTTGCCTGTGTCTCTAGGCATGTTTCAACACCAGTCATTTTTCTCAGCTGTCACGTATGTTTCTCCAGTTAATTTTAAGTAGTTTTAGAAAATTGCTGCCCCTCACGCTACATGTGGCAGTGGAACTCGGCGAAGAGATCCAGCTCTCCCCCGAAACACGCTCGAAACTCAAAAGCATCATTTAAAATTTCCCCCTTGCGGCTGAGTCACGCCTGGAGCTCCGGGCCGCGTTCGCGGCGCGGGGAGGCGGCG